TTTAATATATATATATATTAATAATCATATTATTCAAATAAAATATTCATTGATTTCATTGATGATTAATTTTTGTTAAAAAAATTAACTGATTATTTTTAGTGAGATCTTTTTTTATAATATTTTTTCCTCTACAAGACTTGAATTATAACTCTTGTTTAAAGAGATTGATTTTGTTGATGATTAAATTTTGTTATAAAAAAAAATTAACTAGTCATTTTTAGTTAAATCTTTTTTTCTAATATTTTTTCTTCCATAAGACTTAAATCAGAACTCTTATTTAAGAATATCAAGTTCAATATTACTCATATTAATAACTTATTGGTACGTGTCTTTATATATAAATATACCAAAATGTAAGCATTTGTATATAACACAAAAATGGACCCATGATTTAATAAAAATTAATTAAATAAATAATATAATGTTAAGTACTAAACTTTCATTAATTTAGTTCTATATTATCATTTATTATAAAGTGTTATAAGCTTTAAGAGACTAAAAGTAGTAAATCCTAAATTAGAACATCTAAAATATGAAGAAAAAAAATATATATATAAAAGACTAAAATTAAACTTGAAAAAAGTTTTAGAAGGACAAAAACATATTTTAGCATTTTATGAATGCAATACATAAGAAAAAAAACTACTAAAAAAATTATAGGACTTTATAATCACTACATTTTTATATTTTGATATATAAAAATAAATATGTAAGAAATTATGATTTTATTTTATTTTTAAATTTTTTAGTCTCTTTTAATCATGCGTCTTAGGTGATCGTACATATGTGTTATATATTTAGGTCTGACTTTAAACCCACCAACCAATCCTAACTAGTCTCACCTAATCCACCAACTCAATGGATTGAAGGTGGGACAATGCATGTGTTGGCACATCAAGTTATCACACTAAATGTGTGTTTGGTTTGACGTTAAAAACGTTTAAACATCGTTTAACTTAAGAAAATGTGTATTCAAACATACTCTGAGTTGTCTCACTTAACCTACTTATAACTTATTTCTAATCCTAACCATCAACATTTATTGTATATAAATAAATTTATATTCTTATATAATTAGAAAAGACATAATATTTTTATTTTATGTTTGAGTAAAAAAAAAATTACTTTATAAAATAAAAATGAATCCAAAACACCCACGCAGAGACCATGCAGCTTTGAAGGTGATGATGACAAGGATCCAACCTTCGGAGACCGATTTGAGTTCAAATCCTTGACTTCACCTAGGAATCCTAAATATTCATGTTATTGATCAAATTAATGGGATTGCATTGCCATATATAGTATCTTACATTATCTAAGCTACCATTAGTACAGTCAAATACACTTTTTCATATTGGATTTTGGTAAGTTGAAATTATATTCGATAAGAATAAAGTAGTCTTAAATTGTCAATTTAAAATCGGTATAAATTATTTTCGTAGAAAAAAATTAATGCACTTTTCCACGGGGAAACGTACAAACCAAACCATATATATCAAGATTCAACCAATAAAATTGTAATTTTCCCTACGAGTCAACCAGGCAGTATCCCACAACTCTACCCAATATATGTTACTATTAGCTTAAAAAACTTAATAAACAAATCCAACACCAGTAATACAGCAATTACAATTCATCATAATTCAGAAGTATAGGTCTATATTTCTCCCTTCTCATAGATCTTTTGTCTTCACATTTCACCCCATTATTACTCCAAACTTATGGTATGACTGACGCGTAAGTTTTCAGGAGTGAGTTTAATTTCTATCTATTATTATTGTAAAAAAAATTATATATCAACCAGTAAAAAATAAGAAATTATCATTGATATAGCTTATAATAAAAGGCAATACCATATCACATATGAAGGTTTGTAATTAGATAACAGGCTAAAACTGCAATTATATATGGATAGAAAATCATTATACAAGCTTGACACAAGTGCCTGATCCTACGCTGATAACTACGAACTACCAAGTAAAACAAGCAACACATCAGAACATGAATGAATACCAAGAAATTAAGTTAATTACAGTCCAATACAATTTCTTGAGGAAGTGACTCCACCATCCACAACAAGGTTATGTCCACTAACATACTTAGATTCATCACTAGCAAGATAAAGTGCAGCCTCAGCAATGTCCAAAGGTCTCAAAGTTGTGCCTCTCAAGTTGCCAAGCCCTCTAACAAACTCCTCAACCTTCTCCACCCCAAAATCTGCATCATCACATTGACCCTCTTCATCACAAGGCCTCCATGCATTCACAAGCATGGAAGTGGCCACCCCAAACGGTGAAATACAATTCACCCTAATCCCAAACCTCCCCAACTCACAAGCAGTGTTCTTAGTAAGCCCCACTATGGCATGTTTTGAGGCTGTGTAAGCATGTGGACCAAGCCCCCCCATGACCCCAGCAACACTACAGGTTGAGATGATGCACCCTACTCCTCTAGGGATCATGGCCCTTGCAGCGTGCTTGGTTCCCAAAGCCACACCCTTCACATTCACACGCATCACTCGGTCGAACTCCTCAGGGTCGAAGTTCACAATGCTCTTGTTCTTGGACTGGTTCCCTAGAACACCAGCATTGTTGAACATGATGTCAAGGTGTCCATAGCGAGAGATTGTGGAACTGACCAGATTCTCAACTTCTTTCTCCAAGCTCACATCACAGTGGACGTAGGTGGCTGAAGGAGATAGTGTCTCCGCAAGCCTGGCACCTGCTGAATCTTCTACATCACCAATCACCACCTTTGCACCATGCTTCACAAAAACTCTCACCGTTGCTTCTCCTATGCCCCTCGCACCCCCAGTTACAATAGCAACTTTTCCTTCCAACCTATAATGATAACATACCTTCAATAACAAGAAAAATATCTTGTAGTGTATAATTATGTGCCTATATAATTAATTTCATATTAAGGGACGTATATAAAAACACTTTGGACTATCAGGTATTACAGTATTGTAAACAAGATTAGTTTTTATCGTGAGTTTGTGGGGACCTAGTATGAAAATCCTTCAAATCAGTAACAATTACAATATCCTAAACGAAATTACCGTGTATGTGGGATTGGGAATATAATTATGAGACCTTAGAAGAAGAAAAAAAATGTACAGTTTATAAAAGGTGGCGTTTTTCTCCTTGGAAGCTCATTGGGTGGAGCAAGATTGAAGGTTGTGGACAATCTATTCACGGGGTGGAACCTTTTGTTTCACATCAATTTTGTTTGCGAACTAAAACATGATTTGCAAAGTGTAAAGAGAAACAGAGAAACTAGTGAGGTACAAGTTTGAGTACCTTTTAGATGATGGAGAAAAGGTGGTGTCTGTAATCTGTGGAGAAACTCCTTGAAGGGGTTTCTCAGACATTACAATCATGGTTGAGAATTGAGAGGGAGCAAAAGAGAGAGACAGAGGAAACAGAGGTGCTTGACAAATGCTGAGTACGTGGAGCTGCAAGCGCAAAACCGATAGGTATATATATATATATATATATATA